GGCGAACAGAAATTATAACACATAATCAGAGTTTGCTATGCACACATAATCAGAGTCCTATCTTCTCTGAAAATGTTTTCTCAAGTTCAGATAGAGTAGCCTTCTCCTTCCCTGTTAAAAGGCAGCATGTCAGAGCAGCAAACTCATAAAACAAAACTGAAGAAAACTAGCTATCTACTACTTACTCTGCAGTTCATACTGCACAAGCAAATTCTCTTTATCATCTTCAAACTTCGAGAACGTGTCTGCAGAAAATAGTACACAGATAGGTCAATTAAAAAATGAAGATAACTGATGACAACTATCTCAGTGAGGAGGAAAGTGAGGCAATATAGGCACAGTACAGTGCTCTATGGGTGATTTCACATTAACATTAAAATATTATCCCTTTCTAAATCACGAATTATAGGAAAGTGTGTGTGTGACAGTATAGGTACAGCACAGCAATATATGGTTTGCATTTACTAGTTGCAAAACTGCTAGCAGATTAAGCGTTGCTAGCAGATAAGACATATGTCAGCCTGTATCCAAACAGCAAAAGAAGTGCTTGTAATACATGCTGTGGAACAAGAGCATGATCTAAACTTGTGCTGAATCAGTTCTCCTTTGGCGCACCCTTCTTTGCAGCCTCGGCAGTGGCCTTCTCTGCTTCAATCTCTGCAACATACTCGTCGATCTCAGCCTCTTCGAGTCCGTATCCTTGTGTGTCATCACTGCAATCTCTATGTTCTTGCCACCACTCTCAACAACCTAGAGATTATGGATGGTCAATCAGTGCCACTAAATACAGTTGAAGGTTTAATCTAAACAGTTGAGCAGAAAATAGGAGAACAACTAGAAGGGCAAATTCTTCATGACCCAAAGGCGAAAGCTTTGGGTCAATTGAACAATTTCCAATATAGAAAGCAGAAACCAACAACAAAATTTAGCTTACATAAAAATTCCTTTAACAACTATCTTATGAATTATAAGGTGGGTGAAAACCATATTAAATGCGATGAGTCCGTCAGATTTCACTAACCAGACAATAGGTGTAGAACAAATACAATATACCAAAGCTATGAGCATGTATTCTGCAGTCTTCAGAACAATACAAGGAAATAAGTAAGGGGATGTTTGGATAAGGGTATTATTCATTGAAAATTTTAGTAATTAGTTCAGATTAACTAGATCTAAAACTTCCTAGTGAAATAACTCCAATCCAGACAGGTCCTATGGTGAAGCAGGTTCAGTAAAACTAATTTATCCAGCTTTATTTTATTTCACCTATGCTATTGATTATAAAGATTCCATGGAACTCGATCCAACTGTCGGTTAAACTGGGATCTATAGTTGACCATACCACTATTCATAAACAATCAACCATGACACATGAAACACTTGGCTGGCAGAGGACACATAAAGTCTGGATTTCAAGACTCCACTGGTACATTGGGTTGGCAATATAAGCTTAGTTCTAGTCCAGAACCGGCACATCATTTGGTTCAGTTAAGTGACAGCCAACAAATTATCGCTTTTATAAGTGACAGCACTTCTTCAGCATTTACTACCTGCAAAACTCCTAGCAGATTAAGCATTGGTAGCAGATTAAGCACAGCAATATATGTCAGCTTGTCTATAGATTTCCTCTGATGATAATTAACAAAAAAAGCAAACAACACTACAGTATAGGTACATTCCATTCAGGGTGTTCACAGTATACATTACCAAGAACCTATTTCAGTTCTTAGTAGTTAAGTTGCCATTATAGTAGTTGAGCAATGAAACAATAAGTAATCTCTTAGAAAAAAACTTCGTAAAGTAATCTCCTAGCAAACAATAAGTTGCCATTGTGAATTGTTGCTGGTGTGTCACGGCCAGTGAAGCCTGTAACTTTCAACTGCAGTAGGAAGAAGGATTGGACAGCAAGAAAATTACTGCAGACTGAGCAAAATAGTGGAGACAAAAAATTCAAAGGAAACACAGATGAAGACTGAATTGATGCTAGCAGTAGCTCACGCTCACTACAAGCTGACGGAGGCGTGAGATGGGGCTACGTGAATCACATTACTACATTACAAAAAAAACTAGTGCTTAGTGACTGAAACTGAAGAAAAAAAGAAATACTAAAACTGAACTACAGACTGCTACTAGCCAAAAAACATGAAAACAATAAATTAAATATTCTAGGCTGAAAATAGAAAAACTAAAAAACTGAAATTTGAAACAATGAACATTAAAGGGATGAATCACATTACTACATTACAAAAAAAAAACTAGTGCTCAAAAACTGAAACGAAAGAAAGAAAAAAGAAATACTAAAAATGAACCATAGACTGCTACTAGCAAAAACACACTAAACCTAAAACTCAAAACTTAGTGCAACAACCGACTAGGAGATTCTTTCTGAAGCACAATCCACACAATCACAATGCCCGTCGACACTAATCAGCATCTGAAAATTAACACATACAACAACAAATCGAATCACAAACAACAAACCCCAATTTCACCTAAAATACAACAAAGCGAACTTGAACAAAACAAATACTGAAAAAAAAAACTAAAACTGAACCACAGATCGGGAATTGCTTTCATGCTGGGCAGGCAGGAAACACAACAGACCTGAGGAAAATGAAGGCGTCTCCAGCAACAAGCCTTTTGGAAATAACAAAAACACTCCAACCACTCTGAAGGAGATGCCTCCTAGATTGCCCTGAAGAAGACAGATTTTCAGCACGGATGGCAATCATCAACATCAGGGACAAACAAATCAGGGTAAACTAAAACACTGAACCTCGAACAATAAACTGGCACTACACGACTACACTTGCCAAAAAATCCAAAAGAACATCAGCAGCAGCGTCTGCCAAACTTCATCCAGACCGGCGCCAGAGGGAAGGGGATCACCCTGGTGGTGACAGGAACCTGACCGTGAGCCCCTGCTTCTACCGCAGGTACCACCAGTTCCACCGCTTGACCCCCTGCTGGGATTCCTATGCGGCATCCTCGGCGGCGGAAACTAAACAGCCCGATTCGTGCCCACCTCCTCCCTTCGCTTGCCTCTAGACAGCCGTTGGTGCCGCGCAATCGACGCCCACCATGCCCACTGATGTTTGGGGAGACAGATGCGATAGAGGGGGAGGGAGGGAGAGAAGAAGACTCACTTGCGGGCGGACGAGGAGCGGCGACGAGGGTGACCGCAGCATGACACAAAGACAGCGACAGACTAGGGCGGAGTACGAACAACTGAGGCACGGTAGGGAGAGCTCGAGAGCAGTGCGTCGAGGCGCGCGGAGCAGGGAGGACCGGGTAGCTGCGACAGCCAGCTGCACGCGGTCGCCGCCACTGCGGACAAAGCAGCCGCCGCCGCCGCCGCAAGGCCACGCCCACCGTCAACAACACGGAGAACAGTCAGTCCCAAATTGAAATGAGGTAGCGGGATAATATTTTTAATACAAAAGCAACGGGATAATTTTACAAAAAAAAAAACACAGAGAATGGCCCACAGCACAGAAAGCAAAGGGGAAATGTTAGGCCCTGTTTAGTTCCCTCCCAAAATGTCAATTTTTTCAAGATTTTTCGTCACATCGAATCTTTGGACGCATGCATGAAGCATTAAATATAAATAAAAAATAAAACTAATTACATAGTTTAGACGAAATTCACGAGACGAATCTTTTAAGCCTAATTAGACTATGATTGGACACTAATTACCAAATAACAACGAAAACGCTATAGTGTCATTTTGCCAAAAAATTCGACAACCAAACTGGCCCTTACTTGACTGAGCACGAATCTTAACAAACATCTCCACCATACAAAAGTGGAAGATAATAGAAGATATTTAGAAATCCCGTTATTTGTTTCTAAGCACGATATACAAAGTAAATGCCTAGTCCCATGAATTCTTAAATACCCCCTCTGTCCTAATATATTGTATATATATGGTGTAACTAATTCTAGTTCAAAGACAAAGGAACATATAGTACTACTGCATCGATATACGCACGTCTAAAGAGAGCACGCCTTGTATTATGGGACTTGAGTAAAAGTGGTTATGCCTTATATGTAGGATAGAGGAAGTAAACACCTCTAGTTTTTGTATTCTATGTACACTTGGTTTTGAACATTAAGTTTTTCCTCTACATGTTTGAAAAGGAACAACTTTTTTTTAATGTTTGTTGCATATTTCAATAAAAAATATCTTGTGTTCGGTCTTTGGTGAACTCCCTTAAATTGATGTTACTCTAATTTTACTTGTAGACCTGCTGGTGCCTCGTGAGGGTAAAAATCATCCTCTCCCTTTGGAGATATTAACATTTTCGCTACTAATGATGGAGATCAGCTTGTGGAGGACTATTAACATGTGCCAATTATTTCCAATTCTATAAAAAAAATGCAGATATTTCGTAAAAGTCCATTCATTTTCATATGAGAAACGAAGGATTAAAAAGAAACAGATCCACTCCCTCTGGACGGCGTCAGGACTATTTTGTGTCAAACTGGCCTGGTTTGCGAGATTAATCCGGCCTGCAAAATCCCAGTTCATGGGCCGGCCAATCTGCTTCTGGTCGGACCGGCCCATGGTCCGCCCGACCCGGATCTGACGTCATGCCAGCCAACCGCGTCTTCTTCCTCCTCCCTGTCGCCGTCCTCCTCTCTCCCCAATCTGGTCGGGCTCTGATCGGACGGAGAGGAGGACGCCCATCCAGCCAAGCTCGGACTCGGACCTCTCTCGTCGGTAAGATGCCTGGCCTCACTTCGGCGGATGTGGATTACCATTTTTTTTCTGCTCAACGAGAAATTCCGTTCCATAGGGATATAGAATCTCTTAATCTTTCCCAGCTGCCGCGAGCGAGGAATCAAATCGAAACCTTTCTCTGTCCTCTCCATCAGATCGTGTCGGATTCGGTTGCTTCACGGTGGGTTGCTACTAATCCGATCCGTACGTCTACCCCTGGCCCTGGTTCGGCGGATTAAGACATTCGTCTTCGGCCGATTGCCAGGGAAAGGAAAGGATGGAGTTCGGGAGGAAGAAGCCCCTGAGCCTTCTGGAGCTGTGCGTCCGGAAGGCCATCGACAACCTCCGCTACATGCAAAGCGTGGACGGCGTCGAGATGGATCTGCTCAAGCGCATCCTGCCGCACTGCACGCTGGAGCACCTCACCAATATCGAGAAGAACACCGAGGTCAAGCCAATTCCCATAGCTTCTGCTTCTCTTGCCACTAGCCCTGCATTTGTTCTTAACCCTTTCTTGGAGATTGGATTGTTGTGACTGCAATGCATGCGTATCTGTGTGGCTGCCCTTGTTGGAACAGATGGATCTTAGCTCGGTAACTGATCCGCTGTGGAAGCGATTCTATTATCAAGAATTCGGTCAGGAGCATACGAACAAAGTTATCGCAAGACTCAAGGCGCTGAAGGAGACTCGGCCAGATGCGAAATACACATGGTGGCGGCTCTTCGAGGTAAAATTCTGTTCCTTTCTTCATTTGCCAGTATACTTCTGATATGCTTACATAACGAGGCTTTTACCTGTCTGCCATTATAAAAGTTGGTAATTATCCACAAGCCATTAAAAAAGTTGAGTTCTCATAGGTGTCACTGCTCTGAACTCTTTTGTCCTCCACGTCACTTCTGTCAGATTTAGCTCTAACGGTGTCAAACTGCGGATGTGAAAAGTCGAAAATACCCTCAGGTCTAAATATGCAATTAATTTTTTAGCATCTTAATGATCTCAAATGAAAAAACTCAAAACTAAAAAATTGTAGACCTCGTCGAAATCTACAATATTTTTATAAAAAACTATCTTCATTTGATTCGTACAAAAAATGTGATTTTTCTAAGACATTAATAATATCAAATCATATTTTTTTGTATAGAATTAAATAAAGATAATTTTTATACAAAAATTGTAGATATTGTCGAGATCTACAACTTTCTAGTTTTGAGTTTTTTCATTTGAGGTCATTAAGATGCCCAAAAAAATTAATTGCATATTAAGACCTGAGGGTATTTTGGACTTTTCACAACCGCAGCTTGACACCGTTAGAGCCAAATCTGACGAAAGTAGCGTGGAAGGTAAAAGAGTTCACAGCAGTGGCACTGTAGTGGCACCTGTGAGAACTCAACTTTTTTAATGGCTTGTAGATAATTACCAACTTTTATAATGACACACAAGTAAAAGCCTCTTACATAATTGGTGGCTGGGGGTTTTATGTTCGCAATAAATTATCTTCGCCCTGTACTAACTTAGCTCCTATAACTTTTGTAGGCGAGAAAAGAGAAACAGAAGCAAGCTGAAGATGAGATGGTTGAGAAATTCACAAAGAAGTTTCAGGCAGAGAAAGCTGGTAAGTCTTTACTCTTAACTTTATTGTGGAGTTAAATTAGTTGTACTTTGACCAACTCAGCTCAGTTTCAATGGGAGAGTACACATTACATAACCTGGCCTTGACTTTTGAGTTTTTAGCTTACTGTTAATGTTAGTACAACAGAATGTCACTAATACTTCTTCCCCTAATTCCTATGCAGAGAAACAAAGCAAACAAATTAAACTTTGTACAAAGGTGCCTCCAAGCAGCAAAAGAAGTTTCTTTGGAGGTGATTTCCTGTTTCTGTTTCTGCTTCTGCTGAACTTTCTCTCCACTCAGTTATTTCCCGTACCAATCTAGGATATATTCTTGCAGGAAGTGGACCGAGCAGTCTATCCAATTGCAGCTACAAAAGCCCTATACTGAAAAAGGCTAGGATGGAGGCTGACAGGTAATGGTTACTCTTGGTATTATGATCATAAATAGAAGTTGCTATTTCTGACAGAGTCTAATTCTGTTTTGCAGTAAAGCAAGATTGCAATCTGCTATCCAAAAGAATACTTTTTCGAGGTTTGCCTCATTACTATCCCATCAGTTCACACCGACATGAATGGTTTCAGAAAAAAATGCACTTTCAATCGTGAAAATTTGTAATTTCAACTTATGTTGCAGGTCATCTCAGTCGATAAGGACGACCTCTTTTAATGGACAGCCAGTGAGAACAACTACTATTCATAGACCCAATTCAACCGTCACCAAACCGATTCATAGACCCAATTCAACCATCACCGTCACCAAACCGATGGGTGCGAGCAGGCTTCACAGACCCAATTCAACCATCAACAAACCGATGGGTGTGGGCAGGCAAATCCAGAACAGCAGGCCCAAATTCTAGAAAATGGTTTGCTGCGATATCGCAAGGTCCTCTGCAGGAAGCTCATGTGTGCGACATCGCAAGGTCTTCTGCAGGAAGCTCATGTGTCCTCTGCAGAAAGCATCTCCAGGAAGCTCATGTGTCCTCTGCAGAAATTCCCTCCCCCCACAAGCTGTGTTACACCCCCAGCTGTGCAGTTGGAATTGTATCTCAAAAGGAGTAGCACATGTGTCCTCTGCAGAAAGCATCTCCTTTGTACAAGCTGTGTTACATTCCACCCCCCAGCTGTGCAGTTGGAATTGTATCTCAAAAGGAGTAGTAGCACACCTGTTCACTTGTCTTATAATCCGTACTTTTCAGTTTGTTTTTTCAGCCGGAAGAGTGTTTTTCTCTCACAACGAATCAGCCGGAACAATATTTCGGCTTGTTTTTACAGCGAAACAAACAGGGCCACAAGGGCATTATCAATATTTGTAACAAACAATTTCTTGTATTAAAGAAAAAAGGGTATGTTTCTTGGTTTCTCTCTTTAGCAGACAAACATTGGCCTCTATTTCCACATCAACTACAATCTCCTGAACTGAAGCAAATGGCATTTCAGAGTGGCTATAAAATTCAAAACATGTAAAATTTAATGGTACACAGAAACAAGGAGCATCAAGAATCTGTAGAATGGCAATTTGTATAAAAAGCAATTATTATTGAGTCTTACAACAGAGGAATAACAATGAAGAATTACTATTACATTAGCAAAAATCATCTGATAAGAAAATATGGGTCAAAACTTGATCCTGAACTACCCACTTGGTCCTCTGGCTTATCTGATGATCTGAATCTCTCATGTGATAATTTTACCAGAGCGTAAATATTAGAAATCAAAGGATTCTTGAGGAATGGTGTGATAAACCCTTCAAGGTTTGAAAATTCTTGCAAATAAATTGCACAGTTGTCCTCTAATTGTTCCAGAGAACCAGATTGCGTGAGCGCATATAAGCCTAGCAGAACTGCATACACTGATATGAACACGTCCTTGTGGTTACCTATGCCGCCAATCCAATTGTTCTTCCCCTCTTTCTCAAGATAGCCACCAGTCAGTGATGTGAGCTGGTTTAAAAAGGTCTCCCTCCAATTCTGCAGGAACAGTTTAGTTTTTGCTCCTGCTTCCATCTGACATTTTGAATGCAAAAGTTTCTGAATATTCGAACAGCAGATTTGACATATCAATAGCTTCTCCTCATGGTGGTTATCTATTTCTTTATCAAATATCTGACGGACCAAATCGCCACGGGAGTTCAGAGTGTTTCCAGTGTCCAAGACTATCCTTAACAAGAATTCAATGTATTTCAGCCAGTGGCCAAATAAAGAAGTTAAATAGTCCAAGCTTAATTCAATGACTATATCAACTTGTAGTGGTGTGGAATCATCACAGAAGGTATTAGCTGAACCCTTAGCGATTATTTTCTGAATATCCTTCGCAAGTTTTTGTCTCAGATAGGCATCCTCATCCTCCAGCAACTGAATACATACAAACCATAAGTCAAGTATCTTGCACGTATAAAGACTGATAAATTCAAAAACGTTAGCTTCCATGCATTTCTCTTTGATACGGCCTTCATCAAATTCTGAAGGAGAGTACATGTTGGACACAGATGAAGCAACGTAGTTTGCTTCTTCAAGAAGACCAGAAGCAACAATTGCCTCAGCAGCAGCCCGTCGAGCATTCACACTTTCCGATGGTTCACTTTGGTCCTTGACAAGAGTGACAAACAAGTTTACTCTAAGCATGGCATCAGATAATCTATTCCCTTCATTGATTCGGACATAGGATGCAGAGATCTCACTGGTCTTAAGACAATTCATTGAAACACCACCCCCAGATAGTTTAGTGAACAGTTTCATGCACATACCCATGCAACATAGAGCTATTTCTCTGGTTTTTGCATGTGACATGGTGCTGTTTAAATGAACTAACCTGTCCCACAAGGACAAAAGTGTGCTAGAATCTTCTCCATTGTTAAATGGGAATTCCATGTTCCATGAAAAGATGATCTTCAGATTATAATAAAGGCACTTAGGGTGTTCTTCGACAAATAACCGTTCCATTAAAGCAGGCTGCAGATTAACTCCTGCCCACTGGTGCAAAATGTTTTCTACATCACCATGTCTGATTGATTTTGTGAGCCAAAGTATCCTCTTCAGCACTGTAATTCTAACATCATATGAAGGATCAGTGAGACATGACATAATCTCCTTGTGTACTTTATGAAGGGAGTAGTCCTCTCTAGGCATCTCTGAAGTTGGTTCACCAAGTATTTGCAACTGCACATCTTCATCGTTAGTTTCATCGTTTTTCTTAGAAAGACCAACACAGCTCAAAAATGATTCAGTTGCTTGTTGTTTTAGTTCAATACGGGTTGGATCATGGAATGCGTACTGGGTTGATACTGTGTTGCTCAAGCACTGGGAACTTAACTCTAGCAGCAATGCCTGAATGACTTCAGTATGTCTGCTTTTCCCTGTCCTTGCAACATCAAGCATGAGATCCAATACCCGCAAGTAAGATGTAATTATGACAGGGCATGAGCATAATTTCATACAGCCAAGCCAAGAACATCTTGAGAGAACCTCCAGTAGTAGGCCAAGAATCTGATCCTTCATGCTACCGTCTGTCAAACCTCTAAAGTTGTAATCCAGAAGAGAAGCCAGCTGCAGCAAAAGGCCATGGATTGAATTGAATGACTTAGAAAGCAGAAGTACATTTCCATTTCCCATATTAGCTGATACGGCAGGATCAGTACGCTGAACACTGTGAGCCATTGCTTTGTGATTTCCATGAGGTAAATTATCCAGTATATCACTAACAACGTACTGCAGTCTCTCGTTAGATACCAAACCAGTTAATGCCCTTGATGCAAGGATACGGACCCGGTAGTTACTCTGGGTAGCACATTTTTGGATGAAATGCAAAAGCAAAAAAGGGTCTAAAGAATCATCAGTTCCACAGCTTATAGGTGAAGGCTTAAGTTTTGATAAAAGAATAAGAATCGGACACAGGCTAGGGTGTATTGCTTTTGTAATGTGTGACTCCAAATTGCTGGACACTCCATCAGCTAGCTGTTCAGTTGCGGTTCGCAGTTCACTAGAAAGGAAAGGATGAAGGACTGGGTACCTACATAAGAAAACAAGGAATAAATCTCAATTGAAAAGCTGACCTCATCTACTTACGTACAAATTAGATTGAGCACTTAGGATATTCATGTTCACCACAAACACATGCAATAATAGAAAGTTCTTTTTTCAAACACACAGGAGAGCTGTGTATCTTTGTATCAATGAGAGAAAAAAACAACTATCTGACCTCAAAACAGCAACGATGCTAAATTCTTTTCTGATCAATTTACTCATGTTCATGTATCATGTAAAAGATACTGAACTGCTCAACCAGAAAAAAAAAAGGTTACAAACTTTATATTTGCAACACATTAAGTTTCTGTCTTTCACAAAGAGGAGTGATGCAGTATTACTTCACGTGACCACAACTATCATATTGCAAACTATGTATAAACGTTATGAACTTGCCTGTGGAAGAATTCAAGGCCAGTTAAAGATCGTCGTGCTGATTCACGCTTCTGCACATTCAGAAACCCAACCATGCGACGAACTAGTGCAGTATACGCAAGGCAAGCTGCATTGCGTACTTCCCAGTAGGGAGATGAAAATGCACGTATAGCAACTATTGTTGCATCAGCACTGAAACCCGAAGTGTCAGTTGCCAGATTTGCATCATTGAAGGCAGCTCTAAGCACATTGAACACATGCACGGTGGGAACAACACCCTCATCTCGGCTTTTAGATAGGTTACCATTAGAATGTACACTTATTGTAGTTTCTGATTGTGATTCCAATAGCTCTCCAAGACCATCTTTCATTACTCCAGACCTCTGGTTGGAGTCTTTCTGGAAATTAGCTAAAGAGTTCTTAGCAAACTCTATCAGCCATTCTAATGCCCTTGGAAGTAGTTTCTTTGGTGTTCCTTCTGGCTCTGCCAGGAACAGGGCGATAAATGCAGCAGGAATTCCTGCACTTCTCCTTATCAAATCATCCACAGTTTGCCCTTTAGCAATTGTCCTATCCATCAGTAGCACCATCCATGATTCTGTCATTTTGCACAGCCTGTAAACAACAAAGAAAGATCCTCATAAATGTGTACAAAAATAACTTGACCAACCTAGGTGACATTGTAAATACGAAATAGGCACCCAGATTTGTGTTGATTAGGACTCAAACCTGAGTTGTGGGGGCTGTACACCCACACCTCCCACCAACTGAGCTAGGCTCAGTTCCTCACAGAAAGTATACAAGTTATCAAAAGTTTATATTTACACATGGTATGCAATTGTAGACTGTTTCAGATGGCAAAATATGTGGTGGAAACCACATACTAGGTGGAAACATGGAAACCAATTCAAAAACGCATTTTGGTCGTTCAGAAAATTTTGAAATTTGGTATATCCATAGTGCATACAAATATGTACTCACATGCAAAAGTTGGGATGCAAACCAATTCAAACATGACTGTTTTACTTTGCAGTTATGAATTTCAACCTTCAGAATATAGCAAAGTTATTGGTGTGCAGAGTTAATGCATATGCACCAGCAGTGGATTCAATATGTTTATATATATGGAACAGATGAAAAATTTGTAGAGTGTTGTTTTGCGATGCCTCACAAACTCGGGGCTTAAATTTCATTTGTTATGTAAACATTCTGAATCTAAATAGAAACTGTAACATAAGGTTTTATGCATATGAATTCCCATCTTTGGGTGAAGAGGTTCAGGAACTGGCCTCTGTAAGAATTGAACATACCTTGAATCATTTGAGCAAAGAAGACGGTTGCAAAGGGCAGTGAACCCAGCCCTTGTTTTATCTATTGCACCGTTATGCTTCATTTTAAGAAGAACCTGTAAAAAATGGTCACCCATCATCTTTAACTGCCCCACATCAAGAATTTCTTCAGAC